CCGCAGCGGCGTGGGGCTGGCTCGGGCACATTTCGAGAAACAGCCGCCTTCCAATCTCAGAAAATCCAATTTTTTCCACTTCGTCTTAGCTCTGTACGACAGGCAGGGACAGCCGGTGGAGATTGAGAGAACAGCTTTTGTGGACTTTGTGGAGAAAGAGAAAGTAAGTCTGCCTGTTATCTTAATTTTTTTTTTTTAAATTTTTTAAGCGTGATTTCATTGATCCAAGCTCATTCCCAGCCTCGAAGCCCTCCCCGGCACTCCAGCGGCGCCCACGCCACGTGCGGGTCCCCCCGGTCTCACGGCCGCTCCGAATAGACCCCGGGGTTAGAAACTTATCGCCGCGTCCCCGACTTATATTAAACACCGGGAAAACGGCAAAACATGACATATTTGCACCGAGCTAATGACATCATCAGCGCTCCACCAAAAAAAAAAAGTGACCGTGGGCTGAATTTCTGCAAACTGTTAATTCTGAGCCGCTTCAGGGACGAGAAAAATGTGCGTCAGGAGGAGGGCGATATTTTTCATGCTAAATGTAATTATTTATCGTTACTTGCAGGAGCCAAACAATGAAAAAACTAACAATGGGATTCATTATAAACTTCAGTTATTGTATAGCAATGGTAAGTTGTCCTTCTCTCATTTTTGAGCGTCCGTGTGCCGCAGAAAAGTCTGATGTTCCTTTTCGAGGCCTTTTTTTGGGGGAGGAGGGAGCAGGATAAAGGATATAAAGATTTCGAGATTAAAATTACACGCGTGTAAACACGGCTCTTTCCTTGGCATATAAGGAAAACAAAACGTAAAGGATCGATAAGTCAATGGTACTTCACATGATTAACCGGTTGGGCTTGAAGTGGAAAGTAAAAAAGGGGATCGATGGCTGCTCGGGCACAGCGGCACTTTTAAGGGACTTCTTTTTTTTTTTTTCCCCTCCAGTTTTGGGAACTAATGGTAATCATTGGGATGGGGTGAGTGGGCAGAGCGGAGCCCCGGCCCGACGAAGCTGGTTCCTCGGGCGCGGGAAACCCCGCGGGGGGCCGGGGAGCGCCAGCGCGGGGGTCCCGCGTGTTCCCCGGGGCCGTGGGGCCGGCACAACCCGGCCTGATGGGGGGGCTGGCCCGGGCACGGCCCCCCAAGCACCGGGAACAGAAGGGGAGCATAACTCCGCCAGCAGCTGATCTCTGGATTTTTAAAATTATTATTATTATTTTTTAATTTTGAATTTTCTTTTTGAGCTGGCGCGGGGCCGATCCCTGCCCGCCGCGGTTAATTGCCTGACCTCATCCTTTCCTTGTGGAATTGGGGTGGTTCGCTACCTAAATCCTGACCGGAATTTGTCTCTGCTTTCCCTCCCAGGAGTTAGGACAGAGCAGGACCTGTATGTTCGTCTAATAGACTCAATGACCAAAACAGGTGAGAAAGTTTACACTTTTCTTACCCGCAGTTTACGAAGTTTGTATTTTGCCCTGCGGGGGGGTGGGGCTTGGGGGGGGAATAAACCGGTAGAGCGCATCTACTTCTAATTTACCTGAGCGAGTAAATCAGCTACCTGCTTATTGAGATCCCTATTACCGGAGGATATTTGGGAAAGAGAAAAAGGTGTGTTGTTGCTCTTCGAGGCAGCGTTGGAATCATTCAGTAGTGTGTGTGGCATTGAGTACAACGTCACAGGAACAGATGTTTGATATAATTAATTTAGCGAGGGAGAAAGGAAAGGGGAAAAAATCCCATCGAGTTGCCCAGATTTATTTTTCGATGCACTTTTTCCCATTTCTAACTTTTTTTTCTGACGATATTTTTCCTCGGTGAGGAGAGGGCAGCCCTCTTGCCAACACTCCGAAACTGGCCGGGATTAGTCCTTTTTCTTTTATAATGCGACGATCCAGTAACGCGAGACGTTTATTTGGATTTAAAAGTTAAATGTGCTGAGGTGAAAAGTCATCTTGTTCTCCTCTAGTCCATATTCACCTCTCAGCCCCCCATCTCCATAATTCAAACTCCATGCTCCAGGGGTCACCCAAACCCGTCCATTTCCCTGAGATCAGCTTCTGTTTCTTCCTCAAACCTCTGTCATACCTTGTAAATAACATAATTACAAGCAGTTCCTTATTAAATTATTTAACCTGTCTTGGTCAACTTTTCCGATGATAACTACGTGTTATCAGCATTGCACCGCAGCAATTACAGACAGAGCTTGGGATTTAATCAACTTTATTTCTTTTTTCTTTATTTTAATTTTTTCTCTCAGTGACATTTCATGATTTTTTAAAATTATTATTAATTCAAATTTTTTTTTGAGGGGGGGGTGTGAGGAGAAAGGTGAGAATGGGGAATAATTTACAGTGTTCTGGAAATCTGATCCCAGCGATGGAAATTAAAACCATTCCCCCAATCTGCCGGGTTGTAACACCCCTGCGTGCTCTGCACTCCCGGCCGAGGCCGGCCTGCCCACATCCATTATTTTTGGGAACTTTGCAGCCCCCGAGGCAGGGGCAGG